CAGAAATCTTTTTTTGTTTTTTTAAAGTCTAGGCATGGGGATGAGAAAAGACTATTTTCGTAATAAGCTATTCTGCCTCAATTTGATTTGTTACTCATGTGTATGTGTTACTTTGATTTTAAAAACAAAAAAATTTAGAGAACAGGAAATGACCTAGGTTGACAAAAGGGTATATGTAAGGAAATGTTGGGAGATAGGTAAGGAAATTTTGGGAAATAGTACCGAAAGAGTAGGTTGAGGTCATATTGCATAGGTCTTTGAATACTGAGGTGGAGCTGTGCACTTAATCTGGGAAAATTTGGAGGCATTTTTGAGCACCCTGATCATATGATTGGAGCCGTATACTCACAGAAAATGAATTTGTCAAGAAGATAAATGGAGTAGACACAGGTAGAAAGAGGTATTATGAGTAACCAAGCTAGTTTCAGTTTTTTACGTGAAAGTTAATGAAGGCTTGTGCCTGGACACCATTACAAATAGAAATGAGGCCCAGTCACAGTGGCACAGTGGTAGAATGCCACTCTGCATGCTGGAAACCATATGGAAGGTTGAGGTTCATTTCCTGAGTTGACCTGTACACACCAGGTATACATGCATGTGATCCTGACAGACTGGAGAGAGGATTACATCATGAGACCCTGTTGAGAATATTCCCTTTCTCTATGTCTGTTTCATGAAAGAAAGAAATAAACTTCAAAAAAGGGAAACAAAAGAATTAAAGTTATTCCTAGCACTAAGCTTGGTACATAGTAGATATTTCAGTATATGTTTATTGAATGAGGGGTTCAAAGGGAGGTTCTTCATTTTTAAATTTTTTTTAAAAAATTTGCTACAGGGCACATGCACTTGCAGGAAAGAGAGAAAGAAAGTGAGAAAACACCCCTTAGGAGGGCATGACCCCACTGCAATTCCTTTTCCCCCGTCCTCCTCTCGAGATTTTGGACACAACACATACACCTGTCTGGCTTATTTTTCAAGCCATCAGATCCAGGACTCAAACCACATAGTCCTACATTTTTTTAATAACTTAGTTGCTATAGAAGGCACAGAAGGGTAGTCATTAAGGATGAAAATAGTAACTGCTGTTTATTTTGAGACCTGTGACTTGATTGTAGCTCACATGGTATAAGAAGAGTAAGGCTTGATCCTGTATTCCTGGTACAAAATGAAAAATGTTTGTAGCATTTTTGTGACAGACAATCGTAGTAGGTATTTGCTATAAATTATATGTTTTTTTTTAAATGTAACCTGATAAATCATGTTCCACTCAAGAAAGAAAAGTGGGAAAACATATAGAATGTTAGAGTGTAGTTCTTCACAGCCTCATGATTTAAGAGCATTAATAGCTGCTAGATTTGAGTTAAGCTCTTAAACAGATATTTTTTTTCCCATGGGCTAATTGACACATGGTAAAATCCAACCCATGAATTTGATCCCGTGAGTTCAGTCTATATAATTCTTTAGTCTTTATTATTTTTTTCTTTTTTAAAAAAATCTTATTATTATATTCCACCATTGTATATCATTAGAACATAAAGAATTATTTTTCCTAGAATTAATACGGTATTAGTCCAGTCGAAGATATTACCATACACATTATCAATAGATCAATCCCTCCTGGGAGGTGATTTCTCACTTTCTGTCTCTCTGTCTCTTTGGTGAGCACACACACCTATAGCAAAAATATCTCTCTCAAAAAAAAAAAATAAGGAAGAGGAAGCTCAAAGACCATTTACTCTAATCAACTGAACTAACTTACGCAAGAGATACAGACCAGTTACAGATACCAGGGCCATAAATCTGTAGGTTCCTGTCATTGATTTTAGATGGGAAGCCACCAAGAGCCTCTGACAGTCTCAGTGTGACATAAGGGCCTTGTTTTAGAAGTTAGAAGACCTAGAATTGAGCCCTGAGTCTTACTTAATCTCTTTGAACTTCAGACTGTAATTCAAGCCATTTCACCTTTAAAAAGAAATGTCAAATTTCAAGAGATGAATGTATGTAGAGTACTCTGAAATGTTTTTGCCTGCCCTGGATTTACTGCTTTGTGTTATGATCAATCTCTAATATGTGGTCATATATTTGTTGTGAAACATAAATATAAGATAAAAGATGAAAAAGCACCTCACCCAGTCTTGATACATGGTAGATGCTTAGTAAATATTTGCTGCTGGACTTTGATCTAAATCTTAATTAATTCCACTTATACATTGTTCTTTGAAAGTTTTTTTAAATGATGATTTACTTCCTGCCTTTCCTATTGTAGTGATAACAGCTATCACTATGAAGACTTTATACATTGGCTTCATTTGAAGAGAAGGATGCCCAGGAAGTATGGAGGGGCAGGAGTGGCATTTGGAGTCATTTAATGTTTGGTTCTACCCCAGTAGTCACTGCAGCAAGGATTGTTGTGAGAATTAAAGGAGATAATACATGTGAAATTATAAAATAAAGGATTAAGTCAATATTAGGAGATGATTATTGTTGCCAAAGTTCTGAGAAAATCCAAAATGATTAAGCTGCATAGGTAGTATGATAACCTATGAGTTACAGCTTCTGTCTTAGTAAAATGGATATACTGGATTCCTTTTTATCCTCTTCTGAAAGTTTTCTGTTTCATTATTTTGTGGGGTTATTTTTGCTTCTACATCTCATTTTCAAAAGCTACACATTAGGATATCCTAGTATATATTTTCAATAAATATTTGTAATACCTTATGTTGTCAACATTCTAAGGGTATCTCAGAAAATGTTGATTGAACACAAGCATTTGTATGAAATATGACAGCAATAAAAGTAATGAATTATCTATGTTTCTGTAACACAGTTAAATTCTAGTGGTACTTATTTACCTAGGGGGGAAAAATAACATTATAGTCAACAAACTAAAAATGGTAGTCTTTATTTTACAGGGTTATGTTTCTTATTTTGTTAGGTTTTGTTTTGTTGTAATTTTTGGCTGTAGCATACAATATCTATCTTATTTAAATAAGATAAACAGAATCTGCTGATCTCAACATATAGTCATTGAAATCCTATGTATGCTTACATATTTTTTTTTTCTCTGTTCTGGTACCTTTCCTCAGATAATGCCGAAATATCTACTGTCTCTAAGATTCTTCCATTAATCCAGAGACCTCTCACTGTTCAGTCATGCTGAATAGTCATCATTTTCCCACATCCAATCCTCCATCCAAATGTTGAATCTTTACTGATTTTAGTATTTGGTTTTTTTTTTTAATTTTTTTTTCACATTATTTATTATTTGTTTTTTTGTGTATACTTTCAATCATATTGTTTGGCTTACCATGAGACCATTTTTTTTTTTTGGAGAGGTTTTTGCTATAGGGCGCATGCGCTCGCCAGACAGAGAGAGACAGAGAGACAGAAAGCGAGAAATCACCCCCCAGGGGGGATAGTCACGCCGCAATCCCTTCTCCTCCATTCTCCTCTCGGGATCTTGGGCACGCACGCACGCACACACGCCCGGCGTGAGTTTTAAGCCACCGGGTCCGGGATGCGAACCGCAGTCGACTACGTGGGAGTCCAGCGACATAGCCATTACGCTAACTGCTGGTTCCCCCATGAGACCATTTTGATATGTGCACATTTCTCCCCAGACCCGTTGATCAAAATATCTTTAACAGATAACGCCACACCTCCCCATCCTGTCAATGCTCTACCTCTGTATCCCTTCTCCAAATGTCCTTCATTAGGCCCCATTCCTCCACAAACACCTCGTCTGACATTCACACCCATCTCTTGTGATTGTTCAACCATTAGTCAATCAGTTTCAGTCATAGAATGCAGACATACGGTATATGTTAAATGGGGACATACAATGTCTCTCCTTCATAGCCTGGCTTGCCTCATTTGGTTTGGTTTTTAGACAGGGATATGCTATGTAACAATCCTCCTTCCTCAGCCTCCTAAGCAGTTGGGACTACAGGCATCTGCCAGCCATGTCGGCTTTTTAGGGTGGGCAGAGAATTGAACTTGGGCCTCTTGTTGGCATCATCCTGTTGAGTAGCAGCATCTACCAGCATGCACTACCATGGCTGAGCCTCTAATTTGTGTTTTCGAGTTACTCCTTTCTTTCCTCTCAAATCTCAGGTTATTCTAGAAACGGAAAGTAACTCAGGTATTTCATACAGATAAACTTCAGTGTTCTTACTTAATTGGCTATATTGAGAATAGAAAACTCCATATTTACTCTGAAATAATTTTAACTCTTTTCCCCAATGTACAGGATTTGTTTATAATGTACAATACCATTGGTTCTGCCCGGTACATTCACATGTCAGAGCACAGCAGGTTACCCTATGTATCCTTATCCCCATAAAACCATTTATTTTAATTTAGTTTAATTTAATTATGTCTAATAAGAAGAGTGGTAACTTGGAAATTCTCTCTCTTTTTTTTTTTTTTGATGAGAGAGTTTTGCTATAGGGCATGTGTGCTCACCAGAGAGAGAGAAAAACGGAAAGTAACAAATCACCCCCCAAGGGGTGATGGCCACACCACAATCTCCTCTTCTCCATTCTCCTCTCAGGATCATGGGCACGCACGCACATGTGCCCAGCTTAGTTTAAGCCTCCAGGTCTTGGACTTGAACCACAGTCAACTACATGGGTGTCCAGCAGCATAACCATTACACCATCTGCTGGTCCTGGTAACTTGGAAATTCTTAATGTTGATATCATATAGAAGTTAAATTGGCCTTTATAGTGAGCTGGTATAACTCTATCTCTGACATTTAACTTCAAAGTCTACTTGCTTGGTATGTGTTTACTATTCACATGGTAGGTCAGGAAAGGGTGGCTTTTATATATTGGTATATGTTTGCTATTTACATGGTGGATCAGCAGAGGGGTGTCTTTTGTATATTAATTTGAGGATTTCTATTATGACATGGTAAATTAATATTGCTTAATTTCTAATAGAAGAAAGTAGCTCTAACTAACTCTGTTTTCTACCTTTGTATGTATTTACTTCAACAGGAAGAAGGCAGTATCAAAGAAATTGCAATCACACATCATGTAAAGGAAGGACATGAGAAGGCAGATCCTTCCCAGTTTGAGCTTTTAAAAGTATTAGGGCAGGGATCATTTGGAAAGGTAAGTCATGAGTATGCACTTTTTTTAAAAAGTAATTTTTATGGAATTTGTGTGATTTCTGTGCATAAGGACAACCTAAATATTTTATGAAATGCTACTAGTCTCCCAACCAGGAGTGTTTTCTGTATTTTTGCTTTTCTCACTACAAGTAAGTATGGGAAAGTGAATAAAGTAATTCAAAGGTACATCAAAAACTTTAGTAAATTGTCCATATTTAGTAAATGGGCAGAAGCATTTTGTCTTCAAGATCATAGGACCTCCCTAGTTATACTTAAAAATCACAAGGTATTCCCTTAATACATTAGCCCCTTTCTAGTACTTATGTAGAGTTGGAAGATGATCTTGTAATACATTGTAACAGTACATCCCCACCTTCCTTCTAGCGTGCCCTAATACCAGTATAAAGTGAGTGCTCCCAAGGAAGTATGGTTGGGGGTTACCTCTATAAGTATGCAATTTTTTTGACTTTTTTTTTATCTATCTTTAAAATGGATTCAAAGTTTAAATTTTATTCAGTAGCATTAGTGTTTGTTTGTAACATCAAAAAAATGTATCTCTTGCAGTCCCATTTTCCTCTTCTAGCCAGTCATTAAATATTGAGGTTTCTCAAGGTTCAATTCTAGGCTGCCTTCTCCTCTATTCTCCCTTCTAGTTGATTTTCTCTGTGCCCTCTTAATTGTAACTCACATACAGCTAATATAACAGATTTCTATCTTCAATCTAGATTGTTCCTCCAAGAGCTTAGCTCTTGTGTACAGCTACTTACTTTTTTTTTCCCATTTCCATGTCTCAGAGGCATTTTAAACTCAGCATGTATAATACCAGACTCATGATCTTCCCTCTACCTCCTTTCATGTTCCTATGACTGTCATTAAGTTAAAGAAGCTGGAAATTTAGGAGGCTTTCTTGACATATCTTTATTTGATCTCTCACCAAGTCCTATTGTTGTAATAAAGATATCTCAAACCATGTTTGTCCTCTCCTTCATGCTGCCCCTTCAGAATGTGCTACTACCATTTGTCTCTGGTCTGTTGAATATGTTTCTTAACTGAATCTTCCCACATTTATACTTGCCTCAATTCATTATTTATGTGACAGTCAGAATAAGCTAATTTTATATTCTATCCCCTTAACCCTTCAATAGCCTCTCTTTGTTTTGTTTGTTTGTTTGTTTGTTTGTTTGGAGCGGTTTTTGCTATAGGGCGCGTGCGCTCACCAGACAGACAGAGAGAGACATAGAGACAGAAAGCGAGGAATCTCCCCCCAGGGGGGATGGCCACGCCGCAATCCCTTCTCCTCCATTCTCCTCTCGGGATCTTGGACATGCACGCACATGTGCCCAGCATGAGGTTTAAGCCACCGGGTCCGGGACGTGAACCACAGTCGACTACGTGGGAATCCAGCGACATAGCCATTACGCTAACTGCTGGTTCCCAGCCTCTCTTTGTTTTTATAGTAAGGATTTTTTTTATTATTATTTTTGCTACCAGAGAGTGCAAGTGCTTGCCAGAGAGAGAGAAAGCACCCCTTTATGGGGCACAGTCACACCACTACTTTTTCTTGCATTTTGCAATCCTTTCAGGGTTTGGGACATGCATACACATGTTCTCCATGTGTTTTTCAAGCCAAGAGTCAAACCATGGTCACTCATGTGGATCCACCTCCCTATGCATAGTACTTAACCACTGCATTACAGGGCCAACCTTATAAGGACCAATTCTTAAGATGGGCTAAGGAGCCCCTCAATCTGGACCCTAACATCAGTTTTTATACTTTTCACACTCTGTTCCAGTACATTGGCCTTTTTCAGTCCTAAAGCATTCCAGACTCTATACCACTGGAAAGTCTTATCACATCCTATTTCTCTTCTGAAACATTCCACCCTACTCTCACCCCTTCCTCAACTAGCTAGCTCCTATTACACTTATGATCTAATAAGCCTTACCTGTGATCCTGCCCAGATCACATTCCCCGGTTATGTCCTCTAATGTTATGTAGCTCATCTTCTTAACACATACCAACAGTTTTCATTCGTATAATCATTTGTTTATTAGCTGTCTCCCAGACTAGACTAGGTGTTACATTAGGGCATAGACCATGCCTTATACAATATCTCAGCACTGAATCAGTAGCATGTAATTCTGGAAAGAAATAATGAAGGAATAATAGTCTTGAACATCATAGGCTAGTAGTGAGAATTAAATGATATAAGGTCAAGCACATGATATCTGATATTAAATTGTACTGTGTTACCACTCAATAAACCCAAATAGATGGATTTCTTTTAATACATTAGATTTTCAGGGAACACAATATATAAGTGCCTAGGAATTAGCATGCTTTTCCTTTTATTACTTTAAAAGTAACTTAAATAACTTACTATGAATAGCAAGCATTAAAAATAGGGCAGCTCCTTTCTTATTCTAAAAGGCCAGTGTAAGCCAAGGAAAGAGGGACAACCTGTCAAAGCCTAGAATAGCTTCATGGAGGAGTGAGAAAGGTCAGAAATGCTCTGGTGGAGGAAGATCCTATGGCAGCTGGGACTGCTGATGTCCCTGCTAGGCTTTGCTGGTTACTGGCCAAATGGAACAGATAAAGAGTACCATGAGCAGAAGCACAGGACTGAATGACTGACAAATACCGTCATTGTCTCAGTACCTCCTCTGCATTCCTGGGCAGATTATTTAACCTCCTCCTAAGCCCTAGTTTGGGCAGATATAAAATATGCATTGTTTAATAGTCCTGTCTCTCAAAATTGTCATGATGAGCTATTACAGATGCCCGTGACAGTATTTCACATACTAAGAAGAACTGAAAAATGTTAAGGTTTTTTCAAAGAACAGCTAAAGAAAATAGGAAATTCACAAGGAGAATTTTTCTTATAGAATGGTACAAAGAAGATTGATTAGGGAGCCTAGTAGGTGGTATGGTGGTTGAGTCGCTGGACTCCCACATGATTTTTTTTTTTTTGAGAGGTTTTTGCTATAGGGTACGTGCACTCACCAGAAAGAGAGAGACAGAGACAGAAAGCAAGAAATCACCTCCTGGGCAGATGGCCACGCCGCAGTCCCTTCTCCATTCTCCTCTTAGGATCTTGGGCACGCATGCACATGTGCCCAGCATGAGTTTAAGCCACCAGATCCAGGTCTCAAACCACAGTGGACTACATTGGAGTCCAGCGACATAGCCATTATGCCAACTCCTGGTCCCTGGCCAATATGATTTGAGTCTGGGTCCTAGAGGCTTGCTTTCTCACTTTCTCTTTCTCTCTCTCTCTCCCTCTCTCTCTGTCTCTTGTCTTTCTTTGATGAGCATGTGTGCCCTATAGCAAATTAAAAAGTAATAATAGATAATTCTTTAAAATAAAAAGCTTGATTAGGATATCTTTTTTAAAGAAAAACACTAGAGGATGTGAGAGAGACAGACAGAGAGAAAGCAAGAAAGCACAATCCTCCCCCCCAGCAGGACCTTGTCACACTGCAATTCTTTTTACTCTGATTTTCAGATCAAAATCATGTCCACAGAGTGTTTTCCAAGCCACTGGGATCAGGATCCAAACTCTAGTTAGCCATATGAGATCTGACTTTATGTAAACAGTTTTTAACCACTGTGCTATGGGGCCTGCCCAACTAGAGAATCTTAAAGTTGAATAAATAAATAAGTGAACTCCTAATCAGATAAATCACACTTACCTTCACCTAATTAGAATTTATTTCTGTTCAAAAATATTAATAATCTTTGATTGACTTTAACATTTGAACATTATTCCACCTTAGAACCACGCTCATTAAGAATATTTTTCTCTCCTTTGATTAGTTGGATTCCCGTGTCCTGACTAAAAGGAACGAAAGGGTGGAGCATGGTAAAGTGGGGAAAGGAGTGATGATAGGATAGCAACACAGCCTGTTCAAGACTTCTCTGCAAGTCGTGGCGTACTTCACTTGATTCAGGGTCATTGCTCATTGCCTTGGCACAATTTCTCAAAATGAGAAACTGCCTTGCCCTAAAATTAGTTGACTGAATCATTTCTTTTTATTTTGTGCTTAATAGCCTAGCACACTAATTCGGATAATTGTGAGGTGACCCAAAAGTTAATTCTTGATTGTAATTGCTTCTCTTCTTTCCACCTGTGGCAGTTCAAGACTACTAGGGAAGAATAGGTAGAGAAAAAGGGTCAAAATTCAGGTCCATTTAGCAGGTCTCTTTTAAATGGGAAATGGGAAAGATGAACCTAATGGTCAAAATGAATAGATTTATTGATAGTTTTGTACTATCCATTTATATTATGGCATGACCATGAATTGCTTAGAGTCAGCTCTCTTCATTTTGCACAAATCCCACATTGTATTTTGAAAGCAGCCAAAAATATTTAGGAGCTCAAGGTGCTCAGTAATATACCTGGAGATATATTCTTCATATTTAAGAATATGTGATAATTTGATTGGATACAGATTAGGTTCTGACTTAAGTCACATTAGATATTTGTGGAAAGGATTTCTTTTTTTTCCCCCAAGAGAGATTTTTGCTATAGGGCACATGTGCTCACCGGAGAGACAGAGAGACAAAAAGTGAGAAATCACTCCCGAGAGGTGATAGCCATGCTAGTCCCTTCTCCTCCACTCTCCTCTTGGGATTTTGGGCACATATGCATATACATCTGGCATGAGTTTTAAGCCACCAGGTCCAGGACTCGAACTGTGGTTGACTACATGGGACTCCAGCGACATAATCATACCATTGACTGGTCCCAAAAAGGATTCTTAAATGTGTTTTAAATTGTTCTGCCCAGCAGGAAGGTTAATGTGCACTTTTCATAGACAGAAGAGACCCTTAATGTTGAATATTTGTATCAACAGAAAATTGTGGTCAAGAGAAACCCCTGTATAATGGACTTGGAAAATTTTGTATTAAAAGCAGACTCATCACCATCTGTGTTATATTTAAAACATGTTGGACTTTTCTCCATTTAAGTGCTACATACATAAAGATTTTTTTTCCCTGTCTTAATATGTTACATACTCTTTGGGAATTGGCAAACAACAAAATAAAAAAATGTGTTCACTTGTATTGATAGCCCAAATTTAAAACTGGTATTTATAGTCATGCATTTTAAGGAAAAATATTCAATAGTATAAGTCATAGAATCCATATAATAATAAATTGTATTATAGCAGGGGTCTGATTTTAACAAGGGGAGAGTTTTTGATACTTTGTAATGTTCATTTTCTGTTTTTTGAATACAGGTTTTCTTAGTTAAAAAAATCTCTGGCTCTGATGCTAGACAGCTTTATGCCATGAAGGTATTGAAGCAGGCCACATTGAAAGGTAAGTACTGCTGCTGTTTCTGATGTTCACATCATATAAATGATTTGAAAGGTCTCAATAGAGCATACACTCTGAAGCCATTTACTTAAGTTCAGAATTGGTTCCTGTTACTAGCTTTAAATTTAGACTAACTTATAATGAATTTTTCCTACTGGAATCACTTGACTAGCGAGAACAGGAGTTGCCACATTATAAAAGAAGTATTTTAAATTTATTTTGGACTGTAGGAAAGTAGAAGTTTAGAACTAGATTAAAACTGGGTTTGATTCATCTTCAAATTAATATAATTATTTTAGTATTTTGGAAAAGTTACTGATTTACTGTATGCAAAATGATTTTTATTCTAAACAACCCTTTGATTTTGACTTCTCTCCAAATTAGTTTTTATTTTGAGCACGTGATTTTGAGAAATCTAATGCAGAATTTTTCTGTTATAGGTAAAAAAAATCATGTAGAAAAAAATTGTACATAGGGGACCAGCAGTTAGCATAATGACTGTCGCTGGATTCCCATGTAGTCGACCATGGGTCGCGTCCCAGACCCAGTGGCC